TGACCTTTGATGTCGGACCGTGCTGCCGTTTAAAGCCCACATGACCGAGGGTCCCGCCTCAACCTCCACCAAATTAAACGTTCCAGAATGTTGTTTTAAACCAAAGATAAAGATTTTTCTGCTGCGTCGATAGAAATAAAAAGAAATCAGCTTGTAAATAAAGAACTAAACAGTTCCCCCTGGTTACTGGTGCTGCAGGCTCCTGTCAGAGGTTTGGCAGGAGCTGTCCATCAAAGCTGAACTTGTAGCAGGATTTGCTACTGTTGCTACGGCTAAGGCATTGTGATGTCCGTCATGTCAGCCCATGGACAGTGTATAAAATATGGATGTTCTCTGTGGGTCTCATTCCTGGAGACTGAGAAACAGAAAACTGGGCAGGAAAATGTGTCATTTCACTCATGCAATCTTACTCTATCACACACACACACACACATATATATATATATATATATCTTATCATATATATTTTGGTGAAGCCTCATTTTTCTTCTGCACTACCACTGTTGGCCAGCAGGCGCTTTAAAAAACTGCTCTATATATAATTTCCACAGGGAGCGCCATAGCAGAGCCTCGGAAGCTGAGTTCGTGCGATATCGTGACATTCCACAATAATTCCAAAAGCACGCTAGACCACGAGATTCTGCGATAAACGGACTAAATAAAGGAACCAACAACAAACAATGGTTTACTTTGATTCCCACACGTTGAAAAGTATCTCTAAGACTTGACTTGCGACCTGGTGTCACGGATTATAATGGCAGCTGTATGCAGCCGTGAACATGCCACGGCGCCGACGGAATATAGCGATGAGATGCTGAATTACTGGAGTTCTCCTGTGAAACCACGGAGTCTGTGTTTTATCTTCTTGGGATGGAAAGATTTTATGGAAATAAGGTTGAACTCCAGTTCTGTCTTAAAATAAAGATGTGTTTAAGAAGCACACACTGATTCTGCTCTGTGACTGAGAACTGGCCTGTGTTCAGTATTCTTCAGACAGAGGGAGGTTGCCTGCAACCAAATATTACTTTTAATGCATTCATGTCTATGACACTTGTTATAAAAAGAAAATGTGTGGAGGAAAAGATCTGCCTCAGGCAGCCGTTTGAAATTCCGTGAAGCAAATCAGGCTGTTTTCCAAGATTCCAGGAGGCTTTTCGTCAGGTGCCGGTTGTAACCCTTATCACGTCCAATAAAAAAAAAAAAAAGATAAAAAAAACAACAACACTGTTTTTGTGGTGCTGTTTAAAAACATAGCTGAGAGTTAAAGTGTGAAAGTTAGATTCACCACGTTCTCTCAGCTTCATCCTTTGACGACTCCTGCTGTGGAGGACGTTTCTGAGAAATCCCAGCTCTTATATCTTTACAGTGTGAAAGGTCAGGACTGGCCTCTGGTTGAGAGGGCGACACACGCTCGTGTTTAAAGAGCAGATGGTAATGACGCTGCCTCTGAAGGATGAGATACATCAGGTAGAAACAGAAGCTTTAGAAATTAGAAGATGTGGATCATTTGATTGGACCAAACTGATGTAAAGATACGCTCAACTCACAATACAATACGACTCACAATTTCTTGTTCACAATCCGATTTTATCACGAATACGACTCACGATTTCTTGTTCACAATACGGTTTTATCACGATTCTTTTTTTTATAACAAAGCTCCAGTCAAACTGTGACCAAATCCACTGATACTCTTTTCTTTGTCAGAACCTCATCAACTGAAACTGTTCTCTTCAATAAAAGTCCCATTTCTGTCCAGTAACACTGGAACGTCACCATTGATCTGCTCTGATTAAACTGGTCAAACTGCTCTGGTCTGGTTGACCTGGTTAACTGTCAATATATGAAACAACAACCACAGAAGAAGAGAAACAACAGGAAGTGGAAAGAGTTCCACTGGAGAACACTGTTGGTGTCTGTGGAACCAGTTCTTCCCACGTTCTGTTCCAACACCTGAACGTCTCTCAGCCTACGTAGAACGTAACCTGACGTCTGGGTTTAATAGTGGGTCAGAAACAAAGCTTTTAGGAGACACATTCTACTCCTTACAGCTTGTTTTTTGATTTGAACCGATGCAAAGTGTCATGCATTTGTATCGACTTTTAACCAACATAAAAGCACTCACATATACAGTTAATTAAAACAATCTGTGTTCTATATACAATGTCTATATATAAATGAAGATATCTGGCCAGTTCTGCTCACAAACGATATTAAAGAAAATACAGAAAAAAAAAAAAAAAATCTAACATCTTCTGCACCAGTTATAAAAATGGTAAAAGTTAATTTTAATGGATCTCACAGTAAAGAGGAAAATTCAATTCTCTGAAGCTCCACTGTGGAAGAGAAACCACAGGGATTATTTCTACAGCTGCCTTAACAAATTATCCTTTCACTGTGAGAATGATCCTCCCTGTGTTATCAGAGGTACTGTAAAAAAAAAAAAAAAGAGGCTGTAATATCAAGCTCTAATATTAAAAAACGTGATGAAGCATGTACTTTACACTGACAAAAATACGGTCGGCCTTTCTTTTCCCTGGGTCATTAGCAGAATTTATAAATAACTGATGCAGATGCAGATCCACTTCCAGAACGTGGCCTGTTTCTGCAGATCTGAGCGTCTTAAAGAGGAACCACAGGCACACGGCTCTGTTTCTCCTCTGAGCTCGGAGCGCAGGCTGAGGACACGCACCTCGCCGGGGATGAACCATTGATTCACCGGATCAATAGATTACAACGGCAGGCTGATTTGGACGCACACGTCAGATTGTAACAGTGTGAGTAACAACAGATGGAGCGCAGCAAAGCGGCTTTTTGGGCATCAGGCCGGAGCAGATAACGGCCGCCAGTCTGTACGTGAAAGTTTATTTACACTCTGTAATTCCTGAAATGGTCACAGAATAATTAGCCGGCAGCTCCAAAGTGAGACGTCGATGACGGGCGAACAGGCAGAGTTAGATTTGCTCCAATTACAAACACAACTTTCTTCCTGTTATCAGCAAATTACCCTGAAATAACCCTCCTACAGGCTTTAATGCCCCTTTGTCTGTTGAAACAATTTAGCTAAACAGCACATTTCTGTAATGATCACCAGAAAAAGCACCATTGTTGCAGTTATTCCAAACGACTCTGCAGCAAATGAAGCTTAACTCTCCATGACCAACGGACCATCCAGCCTAAAGTTAATCTGCTGTGTATCATATGAATATGAAGAGCTGCTGCTGAAAGTCAACCTCTGTTATATGACACGGCTGTCATCGCTGCTGTGTCCAAACACCGGGGCCAGTCCCCGCCTCGACACCCGAGGTCAAGACACACAGACGTGGACCATCAGGTCTGAACAAGTTCTCAGACAAATGTACTCCAATGTAACAGTCGACCACTGCTGCTGCACAGACTGGTGATAATTATTATTTTTAAAATATATTTCTCTACATTCATTTCTTATCTTCATTTCTCTTGCTTTTCTACAACTGTAATACCAACCATGTCCTCCTGGGGATCAATAAAGTATTTCTGATTAGATGTAGTCTTTGCTGTACTTTTCTACAACTGTAATACCAACAATGGCCTCCTGGGGATCAATAAAGAATTTCTGATTAGATGTAGTCTTTGCTGTAGTACTGAGAGTGTTAGTTTAGATGTTTTTTTCCCCCTTTGTGCCTTCCCTAAAGCCCTCTGTCGCCCCCCAGTGGAGGACTGCCGAATGCTTTTAAAAACAACAGCAATAGAAGAGAAAACTGAGGTAATCGGGAATAAAAATTCAATTTTCTTTCCCCTCAGAAAAGCAGCAGAATTTGGCCGACAACCTTTGGTTAGTTTTACTAAAGTCCATAGAGGTTCTAACCGTGGTTCCAGGCTCCTCTGTGGACAGGATACAGTGTCTCCAATGTATCCTGTCAGGAGTGCTGCATTCAGGGACTCGCTCAATAACAGGCCGGAGGCAACAAGAGAGACACAAATGAGGAAGGAGCAGCCGAGAGTGGAGAGCTCAGCGACGTGTAACGTTTCAGTGGTTTGAAGAGAAAGAACTGCTGCAGATAATAATTTAGCACAGTGTTCATCCAAGACCACGGGTTCAAATGATGAAAATGGTCAGATGGAAATCAGACAGAAGCCGAGGAGGGCGGCGAAAACTGAAAGTAGTATTTGGCTACCTGATCAAACACTCATGTTGCTCCTTATTTGTGATAACGTTTTGAGTAAACATGCGGCAAAATCATCATTTACTGCCGTTCCAGATCCAAAGTTCTGCTCAGTAAAGTCAGGAGATGTACGTGATACAGTCGTGTTTCTTCTTTCTCCACAGGCAGAACTCAGTGTTCTTAAACAACAACAGCGTGTGTTGAAAACTGCAAGAGTTCTTCTTGAACCTGACCTTCAGCTCGTGGGACTGATCCTGACGGAGCGGAGGATTCAGAGAAACTCTGCTGCAGTGAAGGACCAGAGACAGAGTCAGGATGAAAACCCACTTCTCTCTGCAGCTCTGACATCACGTGACTGTTCACCCAACTCTGAGGCAACAACGGGTTTGCCTTGATCTGAATAAAGTCTAAGAATGACTCAGCAGTTGACCTGCAGCTCTCTCTGCCTTTGGTTCACGTCAGGGTTGAAAAAAAAAATCTATATTTATCAAGTCGATACGCGGTTTTAGAAAATAAATCTTGTTATATACATATGTCTATGTCAGCCACCAGGGGTCAGTACTGAGCTCAGAGTTCATTTCCAGACTAACATCAATTTCTAAGACAATAACAAGCATGGTGATGGTGGAGGGCTTGTGTGTGCGGGGGTCGGGTACAGATAGATATAAATAATGGCAAAAACATCAGTTTCCGAACAAACCTTTTACGAATAATGGCAAAAACATCAGTTTCCGAACGAACCTTTGCCTGATTCGTCGTACGACTCTTTCTTTTATGGTTATTTTTTATCTGTCACTCAGTCTCACACCACGAAACGGTTCTACTCTGCTCAAGAGTAAAGACACTGGGACTTACGGTCGCTGCAGAACGGTCCGCCGTACGTGGTCATGGTGCAGTCACAGGTAAAGCCCTCCCACTGCTGCAGACACACCCCCTGGTGGTGACATGAGTCCTCGGTGCATGTGGTGCTTGGACCTGTGGTATGACAAATAATAAAATAAATAAAAAGATTTAACAAGTATTCACTCACTTTTAGCAGCGGGTGGAGCTGGTGTGCCCAACATGTGGGTTGCGGACCAATCATTACACCTCTTTAGTGCACCTAATTGCTCTTAGGCGTTAACTGGAGGAGATTTGAATTGAAGTCATTACCAATAAAATGTACTGAAATTATTATATATATATTTTTTTTATTTGTCCCTTTGTTTCATCTCTGTGGTAAAAACACTCCACAGATTCTGACAGGGAGACAGTGTGGGTTCAACACAGATGGTAAACAACAACAACAACAACAACGAAATCATAAAGATCCGTCTCATTCTCTTCCTCACCTCCACAGCCTCGGTCCACCTCCCCCACCTTGTACAGGGCGTCGGCCAGCAGGTCAGGCAGTCGTCCGTTCAGGTCCACGGAGGCCAGACAGCCCTTGTACCCCTCTCTGGAGGCTATTAACCTGGGCAGGCTGCTGTACATGCTCTTCCCCAGACCTCCGATGTACAGCTCCCCTGGAGGACACGAGTGTTAAAGACAAAAACCTCTGTTATTGATGGACCGCTGGACCAAAGCCTGTTCAGAAACTCGGGGCAGACTCGAGGAGAGCGGCATGATGGGAAATGGTCCAAACAGAAAGAAACAGAGCAGGTGTACTCAGTGGATAAGGTTGAAGCAGAGAATTATTTACTGAGACCTGAAGTCATTCTGTTAACGACTTTAATTATTTACTACTTGTTTTTGGAAAATAAAATGTATAATTTTTAATAACATTAGTAATAATACAATAAAAATATGAATCCTTATTATCACTGTTGTTGTGAAGTTCCATCAAGTTGCTGCACCTGGACATGAAGAAATAAAAACCTATATTTCTCTGTATATAAATGGCGAGTGTTTCCACTGTGCGTCTTTTGACAGTTTCACTGCAGACTCAGCCTTGAGTCTTGTCTCCTCAGACGGTTTGTCAGAACATTTTCAGATCCAGACTCAGACAAAGTAATGATGACACAATTTCATATGATAAATGTGAAGGTAGAAAAAGTTTACAGCTGAAATTCTTGTATTCAGTTTGCAGCTCAGCATACTGTACACACATATATATTTATATATTTGTGTTTATATTGTGAGGTTCCTCATCTATATTTTGTGTTTGTCTAATTTAATTATTATTTATCTATTTTATTATCAACAACCATCATCTCTCTGATCATAATAACAACATATTCTCAGCTCTTTGTTGCTGTTGCTTTTGTTAATGTTTTCAATGTTTTTTGTTTTTTTAATTTTTCGGATTAGCGTAAAGTCTTGAAACAAGTTCTCTGCACAGTGCGGTACCTTTCAGGTCCAGGTTCCTGGCTCCGTTGGTGTGCTGTGTGACGGTGCGGGAGTCGATCTTCAGGACGTGCATGTTGTTGCCGTCCCTGGAGATCACCACGTTGTGCCACTGGTTGTCGTTCAGAGGTTTGTCCGAGTTTCCCTTCATGAGTGACGGACCGTTGCCCAGGTCGAAAACATAATGGATGTAACTGCAGGAGGGAGTAGAGCGCTCACGTCAACAACAACAACAACGACAACAACAACGACAACTGTCTTTTTTCAGTGTTATTATAGTGAATACACAGTGAAAATCTAAGGGTTATTTTCATACTCCAGTCCAGATTTATTGCTTTATCGGCTCGACGCTCTGCAGAAGTTAGATGGCCAAGATTGATTTGGCCGCTTCACTTCCTGTTTGCTCCGTCCTTGTTTTCAACAGAGCGTGTAGAACAAGCTAAATACCCTCCAAACAGCTGATGGTACATTTGATATTAGATTCGATCAGTAAACAGCAAAAGAGCGATGTATCAACGTCAGAGGAACCTGGATGAAAAAGCTGTTGAAACTGAGGAAGTCGGCGACAGACTGAAAAAACATTTTTAAATTGTTGTGTCTGCAGCAGCAGAACAGAACCTGCTGCGGTCTGAGGTGTGAAAGGTCATCTGATTATTCATTTGATTATTTATTTATTGGACCTTTATTGCCCTCCACTCTAGTCAGTGTTTTCTCTTAACTTTCATTTAAATTTTCAATTGTTCATTTTTTTATAAAAAGGAAAGAAAAAAAGAAAGGAAAGAAAAAAAAGATTCATTTATTTTCTGTCTCTTACCTCTCTTCTCGTTATCCTTTATTCCCATCATTTTTACACCATGTGTCTATTGATGATATAATAATATAATATATAATATTATATAATATATATATAATATAATAAAAATCTCCCACACCTCCCAACATACTGTGGTTTGTTAATGCTTAGATTTACTCTTGTAGATACAGGGACACCACATAGTGGCCACAAAAGGAAGTGTTGTGTATGTGGTAATAATTTGAGGTGTTTTTTTTTTTTTGACTCTGACTGTCTCACCCTTTGACCAGCTCCACCACGATGAAGTCGCTGCCGTCTCCAGTGTTGTAGAGAATCAGACCGTCGCTGCTGGTGGTTTTGAACTGGAAGAAGAGGTGCATGGAGGCGTAGGCCTGCAGGGTGGAGAAGGCCAGGTAACTGGCCTGGGTCAGAAACGTCACAGGATTGGCCACGATGTGCCTCAGGCCGAAGCGAGCGTTCAGCTCGCAGTAGGAGATGTCTCCGTTCTTGCACTGGTCCAGATACAGCGCACCATTGAAGGACAGTGACTGCAGATGGCCGATGAAGTTGGACGGCACCACCGAGATGAAGCGGCGCTCCGTCATGATGCCCGTCTCGATGTTGTTGAACTCCAGACGGGTGTGGGCCCCGTACATGTGGCCTGCGGAGGAACAGGAAGCAGCGTCACGGACACAGAGTAAACAGGCTGTGATTCTCTGAACCGCCTCCGCTCCGACTCTACCTTCTACTGTCACGTTGTCCACAGACAGCTGCAGGTTCTTCCCACGCCGCACCACCTTCACTGCGTGCCACTCATTGTCATTCAGCTTCTCCCCCACCAGCAGAACCTCCGGTCCTTTACCTAAGAGGCGAAAACCATCGAGTGACAATTCCACCAAATCAGCTCAGTTCACCGTGTTCACACGGAGCTCCCAACATGACTATCGCTCTCTCCCTGGGGCTGCGGACCGACATGATTCTGCTCTCACACTCACTCTCACACACACTGACTGACGTATTTATCTGCAGTCTATTATTTGCATTCACTCAAAACACACTTAAAGGAGGACTGTGACAAATGAATAACAATCGCAGGAAGCTAAGAGGCTGAAGGTGTAAAATGATTTTCCCACTAAACTAGCATGATGTATACGACTCTTTTTACGAAGGCGTGTTTCATCGACGTCTGCTGCAGATTTATGTGTGGTATTATCTAACGGCTGGGCTCAAACCCCGACTCCTGCCGCTGCCTCCGGTGTCAGCGTTTCCTTCGCTCCATCCTTGGCAGGGTTTCTAAAATGGGTCAGTGTGCAGACGCTCACGCGGCGCCGCATCGTCATTCAGCATCAGGCCGACGCGGTGGCGGTTCAAACCAGTTCTGACATTGCTTGGGAAACTAATTGGCCGTGTCTAAGCTGAGTGGGCCTTCAGGGGTTAGTCTGTCTAATTGAGCACAGGCTGCAGGAGAGAATTACAGGGGACGTGCGGAGGGCAATAAATGGAAAACACCACCGGGGTTTTTGTATTTTGGAACACTCAACTTTCTCCATCCTCAGGGAAATAAAAGCTGCGACCGGGGGCCCAGGTCTGAGAGCTTCGTATCCAGTAGTCTTTACAGCGCGCCGCGTGATGCCAGCCTCCACCTGCTGAATATCGACTGCAGGCAGCAGACGGATCAATCACATCAGATCCTGCTGCCTCTGTACTTTATAGATTTACTTTGATAATGAAAAGCAGCGAGCCGGCTGGAATCATGTCCAACATTAAAAACAGAAAAGTTAACCTGGTGAGCCCGGGTGAAACAGACGCCGGCAACAGATTCAGTGAAGCCGGAGGAGATGAGAGAGGCTGTCGGCAGCACAGCGTTCATCTGGTGTGTGTTTCTCAGGAACTCGTCTCTTATTGGAGCGTTCATCTGGTGTGTGTTTCTCAGGAGCTCGTTTCTTATTGGACATCAAGTTCCAAAGACAAACACCTTCAACAAACACTAAAGAAAATGAAGGAGGATTTCATGACAAAACTAAGGGTTTTCCTCCTCCATCATCGTCTGTCAATAGACAGACAACAATAAATGTTTAGTTTCCTGTGTGCAGGAACACACTTTTATACTTATTAATTACAAAACAATTGAATTGTGAAATCAAATGTAGTGTACTGCTGACGTAACGTTAGCTACAACAGTCCTGGTACAGACACCAGAGCTAACGTTAGCTACAGACCAACTAACTCTGGTCCAAACCAGACGACGGGTCCAAAAAAAAAAAAAAAGAGTCAGTATCATCACCACGGCAACACTAGTTCTCAGAGTGATGCACCCTGGGACAGAGGATGGACAGATTCCCAGCAGCAGCTGGTGCAGATTCACTATCATTTTTTAATTCCTCTACAAATGACAGAGAAACCTTGGTTCAAAAACAAACAAATAAAAAAACCATCATCTGTGAAAAATCAGTCTCTTATTTTTTTTTAGTCCAGTAATTAAGTTCCCAGCCAATGTTAATGAGAACACTGCAAACTGTAACGCTCCCAAATGATAATGTGCAAAGTGTCCAAATTATTTAGGGCAGAAGAATTGTGCAGATTTTGAAAATTTGTCTCCACTTTTAATGAGGCGTCTGTTATTACGGTGTGGAACTGCAGTCTCCTCCGAGGGGTGGGAGGGAGGAGAGGGAGGAGGGGTGACCCAGCCCGCTGTAGTGCAGCAGAATCACAGAATGCATTATGAGAGCAGTGTCTGATGATGTAATGCCATCTAGTGGCAGAGAAGGCAATGACTTGTTCAGAGCTTCGTTATCATTTAAATATGAGCTCGTTGTTTTTAAATAAACTCAAACAGAAACACGTTGTTTTTACCGTAGAACGATTTAAATCTACTGACCCTTTGGTTTAATTCTAACTGATGGGGTAACGTGGGGGAGAGCAGTAGCCAATCACATCAGTCACACTGTGGTGGGGAGGGAGGGGGGGGGGGGGGGGGGAGGGGGGTTTCAGGTTTAACCTTGAACACAGGGCTGTCATACAGAGACAACAACCATTCACACCTTCAGACATTGGAGTGAACAATTCACCTAATCCTCAATCTGTTTTTGGACTGTGGGAGGAACCCGGAGAACCCCTCCACACCCACGAGGGAGAACATGAGAACCCCATACAGACAGACCATCAGGTTCCACCAAGATCTCCCTGCTGTACGGCAGAGGCACTGACCGCCTTCCCACGGTGTTGCCCGTTCCAATGCATGATTTTAGGGAATTATTTTGTCTGTCATAAGATAATGTTTTACTAAAACAGTGCCACCTAGAGGTTGGATGAGTATGCCCACTCAGCAGAACTGAACGGTCCAGAATTTCTTTTTTTTTTTACATTCTCTTATGACACTTGTATCCAAAGTGACTTACAAGTGGGGAGGTGTCATTAGGTGGTCCCTCTGGGAATCAAACCCAGGACTCTTTGCCTGCAGGGCAGGCGTGCTAACAGCTACACTACAGAGCCACTATTTGATACAAAATAAACCATTTCTTCTGAACAATAATGGTGTTTAAAACGATCTTCTGTTTCTTCAAACCAGAGGAGGAGAAAATAATCGTACTGTTAACACCAGCCTTAAACTTCTACACAGAACTGTAGGTGAACTGCTGCTGCTGCTGCTCCGAGAGTAATAACGCTACGTTTCAGTAAAGTCGGCAATAAATCACCCAGAAATAGAGAAAACTTGTCAGTAAAGTGTTGAAGTTCGGGGAGGGGTACGTTAATAAACGGTGGAAACCTGCTTTCAGACGGGAAAGTGATAAGTTTTTTTTCTGAGCCTTCATCATCGTCGTCCTCTCACCACTGGATGATTACTATCAGAGAGGCCGTCGTCTCTGCAGCCGCAGCGCCTTCTTTTATCTGTTTGTCACACCACTCTGGTCAGAGCCCCAAACTCAAATTGCCTGTCTCTCACTATCAGGTGGGAGACACAATCTGCATCGTAAATTCACGGCGCCGCCGCCACTCCACAGGCCGCGGCGGCACTGGGAGCCACGAGGCTATCGGATACCGGGAAATCAATTCTGTTAATACAGGAACAGATCTGCCTGTGGCGTTCACTTGCCTTTTAATCAATGGAATTATGAGTCCTCATTTAAATTCATGGAAATGCATTTGATGGATGCTCTGGGCTCCATTGTCATGTTTCTCAGCCTCACTGTTTGTATGAAGTCATTTTTCATGTTGAGGGATTTTAGACGTTTTATACATTAATGCAGGGAAATTCAATTTGCATTTCATCTGGTTCTAAGGAGCAGGACGTCCTTTTTTTTTTATCCCTCATGAAAACGATGTCTGATAATTTGCTCTGCTTTAACGGTATAGAACGCAGGAAAAATAAATCAAACCACAGAACATCTTAACCATCTAAAAAAATTTAGTCTAACGCTCTCTGTAGTAAAAAAATATTAATGAGTTTGATGAAAAATATGATTCTTCACTGACTCTGGTCCAGTTCAATGAAAGGGAACAGGTTCAGATTCATTTATGATTATTAATACTTGACGTCTAAAGGCTTCAGTTGGTAAAAAAAGTATGTATGCAGTACAGGTGGAGTTGTGCAGGGGTGGGGGGGGCAAGGTGGAACCCCTTTAGAGTACTAGCAGGAGGGAATACTACATTTTGCATAAAATTTAAATGTGTGGTTTGTGTATTCAAATGTTTTGGAGGAATCAGGAAATACCTCAGCCGACACTAAACCCTGTCCTGTCAACCTGACAGACGGCTCCGTGCTGTGATTTTAGAATGCAACAGCGATGTATCCAACCACTGGGGCAGGGACTAGAGTGGGCCTTGGATCAGGTGGACCCACACCTCACAGTAGAAATAACAATAATAATTTTAATTTAATTTGCCTTAGCCTGCAACAGTATTTTACTTTGAAAAGCTTCTAAAAAATTGCGTAATATAAAAGTTTAAATGTATTTTTGTCTAACAATTAAATTATACTTTAATGTGTTTTGTTATGGACGTTAGATCCACTCAGAGACACACGCCCGGACTTCAGGCTCAGACGGCGACTTATTATTGTGCTAGGCTGATATCAAATATCGGGTTAACCTTTAAGATAATCTGGTCTCGGCACATGTGCTGTGATTACGCTCTATTAAAATCAATCCTTCCCCCTAAACTCAGATGAATCACTGTTTATGTCTGCACAAATAAACACCAATTACAGCAGTTAATCTCCGTCCAATTATCAGTCGTGTTCCTCGGAGGAGAGATCGATGATAGGCGTCATTGATAATGTCAGATCGGGCCACTTCATTACCCTGCAATAATGAGATTACGTGCGACTTGACTTGTGGATTCCATGAGCCAAAGTATGTAATTACATTCACACATAAGTCAGCCTGCTGCTGCAGCAGTGGCAGCAGCAGCAGCGTGGTGGCAGCAGCAGCGTTGGTGGCGTGGTGTTGGGTCTTATCTCTGATGTTTACAGTGAACGGGGAGAAATGTGACGCAGGGAAAAAAACCCAAAACAAAACGACAACAATCCTTATCTTCACGTTCACATGGGAGAATGATTAAATCACAGAACATGTTCTGCAAATGTAACAGTAGAATAATCATAGGAGACACTTACTGAGATTACAGTCTATCCTGATACAATCTGGTGAGAGAGAGAGAGTGAGATGGTGAGATTAAAGAGAAGAAAACGGCACAAAAGAGGAGAATAATTCACATCCTTCAAGGTACATTCTGCAGACACGTCAGTGCTTTCAGAGCCCACCATCCGGGGACAGCCTGGAGAGGCTGAACCGTCTCTTTCCTCCCTGTGGTGAACGTGTTTCAACATCTGGAATAAAAATGAAAAATCTGGCAGGAAAAAAA